TGTGTGTGTGTGTGTAGCTCTAATAATATTAATAAGTAATATTTAATATTAATACTAATTATTGGTGTGCATATTATTAATAGTGATTATTAATTATTAATATTTTTAAATAATCTATAAATTAACAATATATTAACAATTGTTACTATTAATAATGAGTATGTATTATTAATATTAATAATCCTTAATATTAATGTTTATTATTAATAATAATTTAATAATAAATAGGCAGTCCCCATCAAAGTTTCTCCAGGAACTTTCTAGTTGACCCTATTAAAGAAACATGTCCCTAAATATGACATAAAGTAAAACTTCAGCAAACAAACAAAAAAAAAAACCCACACAAAATAAGCCACTATCACAAATATTAAAAAATAAATAAATAAATAAAAATCACAGCTGCGTATAATGATGCCCGAATACTTTTCCTGAATAATTTTTGCAATATTTTTTCAACATGATTTCTTTTAAACTATTTCTAATTAAATATATGGTTTAGATTTCTTAATGTAGGGTTTTGTGGAAAAGGTTATGAGCAGTTACTATCTAACCTGTTGACAATAGATTTTTGGACAACCTCAGTTTGAAGAAACTGAGTTTAATTCTGACTGGATTAACGAGCTGACAAGTTAATCTGTGCAAACACTGATCTATAAATATTTACAGCACTGTCAGTTTCAGATAAAATGATTTACATATACTTTTTGGGCTATTTGCAAGCATAAAAGCTGAAGCTCTTTCAATGCATCCTGAGACACTTTCTACAGAAATGTCAAAGTTGTTCTGCTGAAATAATTATTTCCTACAACATTTCAAGGTTCTTAAAATAGCATTCACATGACTCGCTCTAATTTTTTTCTGGTTCAAGTTGTTTTAGGAAGGCATTGATCCACATAGTTCCTAGCTATTTCTAGCTCAGACTAGCCATCAGCTCATCATTCGGAGCAGAACCAGATTATAGTTTCTCCAAGCTGAGGTCTATTATCTACACCATGGAAAATATTAGTTGTTCATAACATTTCCACAGAACTCATCTTCTAAAGATCTGAATTTTGTGTTTGACATGAAACTTTACCCATAACGCAGTTTGAGACATAAGTCAGTTTAATAAAAGCCAGTCACATTGTCTAACAGCTGCACTTTGTAAACTATGATGAGTTCCAAATAAATTTATGAAAATTAGAAATTAATAAATGAGAGAGAAGATGGATTCTGAAAAAAGGAGATTATCTGTAAACACTGAGGTCATCATGACTATGCTGGGGAATATGCAGGCAGCAGGTGGTAACAGAGATGACTGATTACCTCTGCCTGTAATAGATTGATGAGAGCTGTGGTTAAGACAAACAGGGCGACGGCTGTTTCTTATCACGTTGTCGGGCCTTTTGTCTAACGCCTACAGCGTTGATTCAAGTCGCACTGGTGTTATATTCTGTGAAGTTGGGTTGTTGGAACAAAACAAAACGGAAAAGAAAGACCAAATACCCACAGAATCAGGCAGACAGATGGTGGTTTTATGATGAACAAAACCCAGGAGCTTAAGGGCATTACTGCATGTTGACAGGTTGACCTGAGAATAAAAGCAGTGGACAAACAAAGATTAAAATCTAAAAGCAGACAAGAGTACGGAGCCAGCAGTCATGAAAAACATGCACAAAATAAATATATAAAAAAATAAATAAATAAACAAGGCTGGCAAGTTTGCGTGAATAGAAAAAAAACCCCAGAAAAACAATACAATCTGCAAAGACTGGTAAACAGGTGAGCTGAACGGTGTGGGGGAACTGGAATACAAAATAAAACTAGAAAGTTCCAGGAGAAACTTTGATGAGGACTGCCTATTTATTATTAAATTACTATTAATAATAAACATTAATATTAATGATATTAATATTAATAATAAATACTAATTATTAATATTAATAATTATTAATATATTGTTTATATATATTAATAAATAATCAATATTAATAATATTCACACCAATAATTAGTATTAATATTAAATATTACTTATTAATTTTAATAATTATTATATTAAAATAGATAATTATTAACATTAATAATTATAATTTATATTTATTATTATTACTACTACTACTACTAATAATAATAATAATAATAGGTGATAATAGGTAATAATAGGTGCCTTCCTTGCATGTTGAACCAAAATGGCTCCATATCTTACTCAGTTTCTGTGAAGCGTTTTCTCCTATTAATTCCCTATGGGAAATTTGGCATTTTTGTTAGCAAAATATGTCGTCATGGTAACTGTGCATGCCAATAAAAATAATTGCACACTTCCCGGAGCCGGGCCGGTCATTTTGATATAACTTGTGGGGGTCCACGTTGTGGTTCGGGCCGCATTAAAGTTGAAAAAGATACGCTTTTCAGGTGTAGAATAGTAAGTGGGCAGTCACCAACTAGTTCCTGGAGTTGGTGGAAATATTGCGTCTTTGTTCGCAAATTATGTTGTCATGGTAACTCAAAATGCCAATAAAAGTAATAGCACACATCACAGGGCTGAGCCTGTCGTAATGATATAACTTTGTGGGTGTAGACACTGTGGTTCCGGCCGCATTAACGGAGATAGAAATCTAAACACTCTTCCGAGGTGTAGAGTAAAAGGTGACTGCCATGCGTTTGCATGGCAGTCACCTATGAAAACATTTACAGTAAATAAAGTAGAGACATCTACTGAGTGGAAGGGGTACAGCAAGAGAATATGCAGGTGAATATTATCAGTCATCCAGGACATGGTGAATTCAAACAAGTTCAAGACAAAAACAACTGGACTTTATTTTGTAACGGAAGACGTTGACTAACAAAGAGTCTAACAAACCCTTATTGTGAGGAGCGAAAGGGCAATCTGCACATGCATCTAGCTCAGCTTTATAACTCGAACCCCACACAGTTTACTGGAACTCCTGACTGATGAATGTAAGGATGGTACTTTTCTGTGGCCCGGTTTGTGTCTGTTTCCCTCGTGCTCCCTCATTAGTTCCATTAGTGCCACCTGTGTCTCGTCCCAGCTGTTTGTTATCATGTCTCGTCTTCTCCCTGTATTTAAGCCGTCCTATTCTGTCTTGTTCTTGGTCGGGTTGTCTTCGTTGAGTACTCTTCCTTGGGTCTCCTGAGTCTTTCCCTGAGTCTTCCTGGTCCCTCGAGTGCCCCGTGTCTCTCGTGTCTCCTGAGTTCCCCATGCCTCCTTCCTAGTTCATGTAAGTTTTGCTGCCCCGTCAGCTTGTTTATTTTGTACTTTTCGTTTATCAATAAAAGCCTATTTTTGTATATCTGCCGAGTTGAGTCCCTGTTCTGCACTCTGGGTTCACTCCTGACACAAATCCTAACAGTACGACCCGACCAGAACAGAACCCAGCGGGCAGGGTTCTCACTCGGCAACACTCACCTTTTTTCTTTTTTCCCTTCTCGTGCCGTTATGGACGAGCTCCTCTCCGTCTCTGTCCTTCCGCCGTCCCACCGCCGCCGTAGTGGCAGAAGACGGTTCCGGAAGCAGTCTGCGGCGACCGGCCCGGTCTCGTCGGCCGAGCTGAACTTCAGAGCAGGTTCTGGTGTTTTCGTGGGAGCGGGGTCCGTCGCTTCACCTCCCAGGTTTCCGGTGGGGGCAAGATCCAGCGTCCCGCGGGAGCTCCGGTCCACTCTTGTTCGGTTCGGTGAGTCCGGTCTGGTTGACGTCATTGGGGCGGGTT